AACTTAAGTTCGAATTTAAAATTCTTTTTCAGTCTTTTTTGTTAAATATACATAACGGATCATATTATTGTATCTGTATAAATATACATATATATTAAAAGAAAATTGTTCATTTTAAATGAATTTTTTAAAAATATTTTGTATAAAAATAGTAAATTATTCAGTCAAAAATGTCTACAAGTAAAGAAATAAAAAAGTTTTACTATTGTGTTTAATATAAGTTTATAAATATAAGTTTTACTCCAGTGTGTTTAATAAACATACACATATACACACCACAGCGTGATTAATACTATTTAGCAAACTGCAAAATTTTTATATTTTGCAAATACATACTTGCAATATTCCAAATAAAATTTTTTGCTTTATTTGTTTTTACAAAAATGCTTGTTATTGCAGCTATTTCAAGTTTCAATAACTTGAAGATTCTGGATAGTTGCGGTAACTTTTTAATTAAACTTAAAATTAAAAGTCAAGAGCGAGATTAATTCTAACGGCTTATACAAACGTATTTCTACAAAAAAATAAGAATAGTTTTGTTAATGTGTTTAAAAAAGAATTTTGAATAAAAAAAGCGAATGAAAAACATAATTTAGTTTTGTGTCACTTGAAGAAATCAATAGTACTTAGGAATTTATCAAACATTAAAAAGTTCATATCTGCAGAGGTTTTTTATTGGGATAAAATCCCCTATCACAGCATTTACTACATAAAAATTTACTTGATAGTTCAATATCAGTAAAATCAATAATCTGCAATTAAAATTTTATTTTAATAGAAAATTTGCAGTAATCTGAGAGGACAGATTTTTATGTTGGATAACCATTTTAAGTAATTTTGTCGAATAACCATTTAAAGTTTTTTGTTTTATTATCAAATAGTTACCTAAGGGTATTTTCGAAAATTAAATTTTAACTTAGATCTTAATACAAAACGTGTTCCCTAAATCTTTACTACAAAAGAAGCACATGCGAATATACGAGTATTATGTAGTATACATAAACTTCTAAAGCAATTTTAAAGATTTTTTGTGAAGGCTGCACAATATTTTAAGTCTGGGAAAAATCACATAGAATTAAGGTATCAAAAATTTGAAAACTAATCTACGAGTAGTTCAATTTTGTAGACCTGTAATGACAAGAAAAATATTTTAATGTTTTAAAATATTTAAAGTCTTTCGTATTCATTTCAAAAATATAATATAAACATCTTTTATAAAAAAAAATAAAAAACAGAAGTTGGAAATTGAAATTTTGCTGAGAAAATTGTGGGTACAGTGAGATTTTATAGTTTTGCTATATGCCTTATTATGACCAGCGAAGAGAATGGATAGGTGAGTGCAATGGAGTACGTGAATCGAAAACCATTTTAAATTATGATCGGTCAATAGTTTCATTCATCAGATCCAAAATGTTACTACTGCAAGGCATCAGAAAACCGAAAATAATGACGTTAACACCACCAAATAGTACACATGGAATGTGTATAAATTTGCGAATAGAAATTGTACTAGAAGTAATCTTTCAAACTTTCTAATTATTTGAGTTGATGGTATGTATTATTTTAAGGTTCTATAATTTGCAAGTATCTATAAGACAAATGTAATTAATAAAACTTTTTTAATAAATACATAATGTCTATGTAGCATACAGAGCACATAATAAATCTTTTTTTATGTCAAAAGTAGCGTTTATGAATAATATACTAATTCATAAATTTATACTAAAAAAAAAGACAAATGGGGAGCAGTTCGCATAATTAGTAGAATTAATAGAACACAATTCGCATATAAGTGGAATTAAACTCTTACTCAATAAAAATATATTGAAGGAAATATGGGCGAACTTTGCAGTGGAGTTAAAAGCTTTGGGACACTTGGTAACTCCAATGGATTTAATTGGTTCCTGATATATCCTTATATCCTTCTAATATTTCTACTGGTGTACTAATTACAATATTTTCATTAGATAATAACATTAAAAATGTTAAAATATCAATCAAATTTTAAATTTTTGAAAAATTTGTTTATTATTACAGCCTGTGCCCTATATTTCACTTTGTTTATTTTTTTTAATAACTTAAAATGCTATTTTGCCGGATATTCACTTCGAGTGCTTATTCGCTTCTCGAAACATAATGACCCTATTGATTGAGGTTTATTTTATATTCCTTGCTATAAACTTCGATATTTAGAATATAATATGTTCCTCACGGAAAAGTAGAAGATTTTATAGCTTTTAAATTTAAATAATTTTTTTTAATTGTGAGATAAACATCCATAATCATAGATGCTACACAATTAATTTATTCTGAAAATTAGGCTTTTTCAATATTGCATGATACGCTACAAGTTCTTAATCAGAATTAAAAGCTTTTTCACAATATTTGAAGTACTACAAAGTTTGACGCAAGTATTTCAGAATTGAAGTCAGCTGTTCGTTTATTTAATCATTTTCAATCAAAGAATTAAAAAGAAATTGAGCAGGAAATTAATTTAAATTTGTTGAAAACGTAATTATTTCAGGGCATAAATGAAAAAACAAAAAGATAAATTTCAAATTAACTCAAAAATTTAAACAATTTACTATAGTAAATCTTCAAAATCCGATATTTGAATACAAGCTTTTTTAAAATTGTTTACAGAACATGTTGCTACAAATTTGCAATTCTTCAATAAAAAATATACTGCATGGCAAATCTTACTAAGAACTGAAATACGAATATAGCCCTTACAAATAATATTTGACTAATGTTTGAATAATATCCCATTCCATCAAGTGAAACAAAAGAAATATTTACTAAATTAATGTAAAAAAATACGCTTCTGATGTTTAGCCATACACTAAAAGATACAATTATGAAGTCAGGAAACTTTTATCCAATTTTAATTTGACTGATGTAAATTTTTTATTATAAAAAAATAAAAATTTCAGTGAAAATAAAATTTTTTACAAAAATTCTTGCGAGTATTTATGAAATAATTTTGTTTTAAATAGTTTTTTTTTCTTATAGTTTAATTATTCTTAAAGTGGTTTAATTTCTTTATAAATCCAATTTAAAATAAAAGGCGAATTAAATAAAAATTGTATCCGATTTCCATTTTTTAGTTGACATACATACATACATATATTATTGATTTTTTAAAAAAATTGTAGAATAAGTTTTTTTTTCGGAGGATAAAAATCTCACAACCTCGAACCTAAGGATTTAGCTAAATATTACAATTTTTTGGCAAAATATTTATTTTGTTTTTGTTTCTTTTTTTTTCATTTTACACTAAAAAATGATTTTTTTAGGCATATTATAAAAGCTTCTTAAAAAAGCTTAAAAAAATTTAATTTCAAATAGTTTTTTAATATAAAAATTAGTAAAATAAAAAAAAATAAAATAACTTAATATCAACTATTTTAAATTTAAATAGGTTTTTTTAATGTTTTTGAGATACTGTGATATTATTTCAGACTTGAAAATTTTAAAAATTATATTATACGCTTAAATTTATACATAAAAAATTGCTTAAAAATAATAATTTTATTTTTAAAAATAATAATTTTAGATATTTTTATTTAATTTTCTTTCATATGAGCTCTGCAACTTTACAACTTTAGTTCCATTAAAACTAAGAAGTCTTTTATATTTTTCTTTAGATACATTGTTTTATATTCATGTTTTATATTTTTTTTATAAAAATAAAACTATAAGTAGGTAAAATAAGTATTTTTGCTTGTGTTATAGTTTTTATAATATTTAGTAATGTTTTTTGTAAATCTTTTAATAAAAATATAATTTAGTAATTAGTGTACAATAATTTAAATTAAAAAAATTTTTTTTCTAAGAAAGATTGAAATAATCGATTTTTTGTTAATGGTTTTTTTTCTCACTGTAAAATACGTACCTACGTACACACATATTTATATTCACAAAATTACACATATTGCTTATATAAATATATGTATACGTGTGATATAAACATATAAATATCTTATATGTACAGTGTTTGAAGGGAATGAATTAATGCTTTTTTAACATGATGATTGAGTATTTCAAACAATATTTATTTTATAAGTGAATCATCAACAAAAATATTAATATTTAATATATGGATTTAATTTTACAATATTCACTTGATGAATATTTTGCTTAAAATTTCTTTATTGTAGTAAGTTATAATTATAAAAAAAAATGCACGTCTACCAAATATTTTAAATGTAAGAAATAAATTGCTAGATTTAATTCAAAAATTATGTTACTCTCAGTATATCTAACTTGTTTTAAAATTATATCTATAAATTATCAATATTAAAGTTATTTAACTATGAAAAACTTCAATACTTTTGTTGCTTTACCTAATAAATAAATTTTTATATTTTTGGAAATAATAAATTTTTATTTTTTTGGAAAAAAAATCAGTTTTTGCAATATTTTGTTATATATCTTTAAACAATTAGGAATAAATTATAATACATAATATGCCTGTTCTTAATATACTCAATCAATGCAGTTTTCTCTTTAATTATTTTATATAAAAGAAATAATATTAAAATTTAAAACCAAAAATTTAAACTATTCTAATATTAGAGCGTTAACATTATAACAACATTCAAATTAAAAATAATACTCATTGCTTTTTTTCTTTAATTTGCTCCCTTATTTCTTTTTAAAACTAAAAAGAAAATTAGTAAAAACTGTAATAACATAAAGTTTTTTTACTGAATTTAGTCAAAATGAAATAAAAATAGTGTGATAAAAACCTCCTTATTTATTCAGGAGTAAACTTGTTTTAAAGTTCACTGTTTTATTGTAGAAAATAGGTAAATATTTCATTTTTATAACAAATTATTGAAGGATAATATTAGATTAGTGTAAAAAACTGCTCTTATTATTATCATTAATTGTTTAAATAAAATAAACTTAGAATACTAAATTATAGATGGAGTAATCAAATTTCAATTTGTATTAGTTTCATTTTTAATTCTATATTTTTTAATGAAATTTCTTATATGAAGGCAGTCTTTAAATTGATTGTAATTTTAATGAGTAAAAAAAGTTTTAAACTAAATTTATAATTATAATTATTGTTTATAAGTATGTATAATTTATAATTTTATAATATTATAATATTATAAAATTAATTTTTAATTACAAATAATAAGGGGTTGGGCTGCTCTTAAAATATATATGCATATACGTGACATAATTCACTGAAATTGTTTTTAATATTTTCTTATAGTATACATATTTGAAATGAATTTTAATATATTCACTTATCTTATTTTATGCAACTCTTATTCACGTTACCATTTCTTCACCAACGTATACGAAAGCCCTTTACCATATTTCCCTCCCCATATGTTGCATTTTCCACTTAATATAATTTATATTCGAAAACAAATTGTTCAAATTATTATACAAAATAAAAATTTTTTGAATAAAATTTTCCGTTCCCTAATCTCTCGGTTGCGAATATTTTGATCTTCGTTTACTAGCTAATTGTGGTAAATTAGCATGATGTTTGCGTACATGAACTCCCAGATTACCTCTCTGTTTTGATTTATATGGACAATAGGGGCATTGATGCGATGGTTCTTTGCCACCACATTCAACATTTTCATGGCGACGTAAAGTAGACTTCCAACGATACTTTTTACCACAATGTCTACAGTTATACATAGCTTCAACTTCACCATTAGGACCTACTTCATATTTTGATAGTATACTATTATTACCACAATCACTGTTACTATTGCTCATATTATCTGCACCAGCATTACTATTACCACTACTGCTACGATGGTGACCACCGCTTCCACTATTGCCATAATCATTCAAAGTGTATTCTAAATTTCTTAATGCATGCGCAGCAATCATAGAATATTTGTGATGCGTCTCATCGGACAGGTAGTCAGTTGCATCCATTGACACTGACAATTGATTAGATGTATTAAAACCCGATTTGGAGCCTTCAATTAAATGAATATCATCGATTTCAGGATACTTTCCTTCGTCTTCGTCATCATCTTCTCTTTCATCTGAACTTGATTGTTCATTGTCTGAATATTGATCTTTTTTCATTAAAAAATTTTGCATATATTTAGGTGGAAGCTGCGGTGGTCCACTTAAGCGCCTTTCTTCAATTCGATTAGAACCATTGTTTGGATTACCGCAATCATTTTTTAAACCGTTACTGCTACCAACAGTTTGTTGTTGCTGAACATTTGATTGCTGTGACTGCTGATCTTGCTGTCGTTGTTTTAATAATTGCTCCTGTGCTCGAATTTGATGATGAAAATTTTGATATCCATCACGAAAAAGAGCTGCAGCTAAAGCAGCCGCAGCTGGAGCTGATGGTAATATTGGCGATTGAATTACTGACGAAGGGACAACAACAACTGACGACTGAGGAAGACCAGTAGATGAAGATGTCAAACTTGTATTAGCAATAGATATTGCTGTTGATGTTGGCGGAACATTTTCACTCATTAACGGCTGTATTATGGTAGTTAATTGCCCGGAAATAGGAGATTTATTGTTAACACTTGAATATTTTATTCTGGGATGAAATGGCGCATTTAATTTTTTAATATCCTTTGTAACAGCATTTGCAATAATTGATGAACTGCTACAATTTTCTTCTGATTGATGATGAGGTGATTGAAATTGATGTGTTTCATTTGACTTTTTTGCAACCATTTCATCACCATTCAAGTTTTTTGAAACAACAGCCGTTGTCAACTTTTCAATTATTGTTGATGTATGAATAGGTGTCGATGATTCACTACCATTGGAAAATGTTGGCCGAATTTTTGTTGGGGTTATTGTTATTGTGGGCGTAGATGTTATTATTGATGTAGCACCATCAGCCGATGATGGGGATGCTTGTCGCGGAAATTTGTCAATTTTATTATTCTTTGGTGCCTTTGCTGCATTTGCTTTATAAAATTCAAGGAGCATATCGGATACATCTGACATTGACAACTGATGAGCTGGAGGTATGGATAAAGTTGATGCTTTTCCTGATATTTCCGATAAACTACGTTGTTGATTTTGTTGCTGCTGACTATGAGATTTCAGGTGTGATAAAATTTGTTGTGGTTTATTACCATTCGTAAGTGGTAAAGGACTTGTTTGTTGTTGTGGTATATTATGTTGTTGTTTTTCATGTCTCACAATATTTGGTGTTGACACTGAATCTTGTTGGGACTGCACATATCTAGGTGATGGAGGTTCCGTTTTCACATTTGTGCGTAGATCTGTCAATAAATAAAAACAAAATTCTTTTATTAGTTTCAAAGCATGTATATAAAAATAAATTTTATTTAATATTTATTTGCAATTATTGTGAATACTTTTTTCCTTCACAATAACTATAAAATTTATTTTAAATTTTTTTTTAATTTTTTTAATTTTAATTATTATAAAATAAATTTCACTTATTAATATGAAAATCTTTCATTTTTTTCAATTTGGTGAAGTGCTTGAAAAAAAATAATGTTTTAAAAAAAATTAAATAGAATTAGTAATTAAATTACATGAAAATAAAAAACATTAATGAAAGATCATGCAAGTTTTTTTTATAAAAATTAAAAAAAGAAATGAATATGACAGAATAAAATAAATTTTACTTTAATTTAATTAAAAACAAAATAAAACAAATCCAAATAAAAAATTTATGATACAATTAAATTTTAATTAATAATTTTACAATTGACATTCTTATTTAAAATGAAACAACAAAAATTATTTTTTGAAGATTTTTTATATTTTTCTTATACTTTTTTTTTTATTAATTCCTTTTTTCTTAATAATTGATTATTCATTTATATTTTATTATTAATTACCATTTTACCAATTATTAATTTTTTAAATAAAATTTCAAATAAAATAAAAATGTTGTGTATATGCAAATATATGAATAAAAAAATTTAAAATATTCGCGATGAATTAACCAACTAAAAAATTAAAATAAAACTAATCCAAACTTTAACATAATTGAGACATAATAAAAATTGTGCATTAAGGGGTGTGTGACATTACTTATAAAAAATTAATATGAGTATATTTTTAGAAAGCAAGACCAATTTACAATTTCACTAATATTTTATTGGCAAATATGGTAAATATTATAACTATGTATATGGTAAATTATAAGTATATTGTATCAACTGTCAGCTTTGTTCCTTTATGATGTGCATTTTATAGCATCGGATGATAATGATGAATTCGTTTTACAATATTTTGGCTTTGATAAAATGATTTTTGGATAATTTTTTTTAATATATTTAAATATTTGTATGTTTTTTTATATAATTTTTTTGTCATGAGTTAGTTTTTTCTCTAATTGAAATGTAATTAATTAATCTTTTTTATTTGCTTGTAAACCCTTTCACCCAGCTTGAATTTACCTATGGTATTTTAGTGTTTTTAATATAGTATGCTGTTATTATTAATGAACATTTAAATGATGTTTTTAGTTTATATTTATAGCGAACCTGAAAAAATAGCATATGTTAGTATAAAAATTGAAATAATCGAAATGTATACATATGTATGAATGTATATTTAAATGTACATATATTTTATGCGTTTACAAAAGTATGATTGAAAATAATAAAAAAATTATTTAAATTGAATGTAAACTAAAAAATTGACAATTCAAAATAAACAGTGGAAAAAAATATATTCTTTTATTTATTTACATTTACCCATCATTCGCACGTTAGCTAGAGCTATGCAACTGAAAATATAAAAAAAATCTTTATTTAGTGTTATGTAGGTAATTCTAACGAAATGAACATATTCATTAATGAGGTATTTAATTCTAAAATTTTAAACTATACTTAACTTATTTTATTTATTATTTTAAAATTAAAATAGATCAAATTTGGGATGTTTCATTATAATTACTAGTTTGTCAATACAAAAAAAATATTTCAAGCTCACTACTGGAACTAGTTAAATAAAAAGCGGATTGTAATCATTGTGTACTATATGTCAAATTTTTTTGATTAACATTAAAATATTTCGTAAAAATAATATTAATAACAAAATGAACTATAAAATTAATTAAAAAAATAGTATAAAAAATTATTAAAAGAAAAATTCTAAAATTACAAGAAATATATAAATACATTTGTAATCCCTTATGTTTGTTTTCAGTTTTGTTTAAATTTAAAAATTTGTAGTTAGTTTTAAATTTTTGTTCAATTCTTTTTCTTTTTCATATTTCCTTTTTCAAAGTATAGTACTTCACACAATATAGCTTTGAATTTGTATGTTAACAAAAACTACAAACCAATTTTCATTCGTCAATGAAAATGAATAATATTTAATTTTTCCGTAAAATTTTGCAAAATTATTTCAAAAATTTATGAAAATTAAATATTATTATTTCAACATCTTAAAAAATTACAATTTGTATTGTTCTAAATTTGAATTTTGCTATGTATAAACTTTTCACCAAAAATAAAAAGCTTTGATAGCATTTATATTCAGGGGCTATCAGACAAAGTGCTAGGCCTGTGGCAACAGATTGTTAGAGGCCCTGAAATATTTCAAATATTATGCTTAAATAAACAAAATAAAGGCAATATTTTAATGTTTAGTTTATTTAATATTTTTTTAATTATTGCACAAAGACTTTTCGCGTTTTCATATCAGCAAATTTAATAATTATGTCCGAATAATCTAAGAAACGTGTTTGTAATAAGTAATGTTTATCGTTGCTAGTCCATTGTCGCTAAGAATATTTGGTAATTCAACTTTTTTCATGGTGAATTATATCGTTTTGACTTAAGTACAAAACAAAGTATTTAATATTCTCTTCATGAAAGACATATTCTCCGATTGAAATATTTTGTTTAAAATATTGAGTTGTTAATTTAAGGCCCTGCAGATAGTGAGACCCAGGGAAAATGCCCCTCTTGTCACCCCCTCTTATAGACCCTGATACCACAACATACGAAATTGTTATTCTAATATAAATTTTAAGTAAATTAATAGAACAACTCCAATCAATTCACACTCTTTAATTTTTTTAATAACATTTTAATAACATTAAATTATATGTAATATATTTGATTGTATAATATATGTATGTATTTATGTTAACATATGTGTAACACATTCATTGTGCATCAGTTTTTATTTGTTTTATATATTTTGATATAGAAACACTTTAACCAATAACATTTTATTTTATTTTTAATTAAAGATTTTAATTTAATTTAGATTATAAAAACGTATATAATATGTATATATATATATATATATATATATTATTTTTTTTAATTTAAATTCCCAAGCACATGAAAAAAATATTATAAAAACACAACTAAACAACATTTTGCGTTCAGGTCTATTATTTTTAGTTCTGACCTACAAACATAATTTGTAAGTAAAATAGTTGAAAAGTCCTAGAAAGAATAAAAAAAAATTAAAAATATAACAAAAACTGGAATATTACGGAAGAAAAAAAGTTTAAAAATTAGTTTCATACCGCATATTCAAAATTAAAACGAAATCTGATGGCATTTCTTAGGAAAATTTTTCATTACCGAAAACTTAAAGGATCGTCATTATTGTCACGTGTTGTTTATTTAAAGCAGCCTGAAAGTAATGTATTATTAAAAAATGTACAGTTAGAGATCAGTTTTCGCAGACTTTGTATTTAGATCTAGATCCAAAGTTGACATTAAATGTTTTGTAACCTAACAAGCATGATTTTAGCGAAACTGTTAAGCAATAGTTTCTCCACTTTTATGCTTCTTGCTGATAAATTTTAATAAATGTTTATTCGAATTTTTGTAACAATCTAATAAATACAAATTTTTCATTTAGTTACAATAATTATAAAAACATTGAAACTTTTTGTACAATTAAAAATGTGAAACTTTTATACATTTACCTTCCATATTCATTTACATTTTTAAAAATTTTTTTTTATATAAGCGTCTGTTGCAATTGTGTTTTACCAAAAAAAAGGGAAACGAAAAAAGATAAGAAAAAATAACATACATATAAAATAAAACTTCATAAACAATATGCCAAACCTATCCCATTAATGTATTTTATAAATATTTTAAATGAGAAAAATAAAGTCCCAAATAACATTGCCACCAACACATTTACAAGCTAAAAACGAAAAAACTTTACTAAAATCAACTTTCATTGAATTACAAAGAAACTTCTTGAAAAGGAAGCAGGTACGTACATATGTATATATGTACATATATATATGTATTAATGCATGTTAAAATTTTTCTCTAATTACAAAAAAAAAATCAAAAATAAACATATACGTTTGCGACAACTAAATCTTGAACATCGTAATTCCATATGTCATATACATATGTATATGTACATAATCAAGAAAAAATTTAGATATCCTTTTTTTTAAACAAATACATAGGAACGTTCATATTTACATCTTCTTGTAGATATGAAAGAATAATTCTTTGATCGATATATGTATGTATGTATGTATGTAACTAAAAATACATAAAACACTTATCATATAGTTTGTATAGATATTGCTTTAATTTAATCTTTATTTAAAATTTTTTAGTACCCGTGGCTATTACATACTTAATAAATATACATACATTTATGCATATACACAAATTAGTTAGTATTTGTGTAAGTTGGTATGTAACATTCGCACAATATGAAACTTTACTTTAAATAAATTTTTGAACATTATATAAATGCAGGTAGGTAGATTAAATGTAGCATAAGTTAATATTATAGTTTTTAAATCTTTATTTTTAAAAGTTATTTTATTAGTGTGAGTAAAACAGATATTTCTATTTTTATTTCTGTTTATATAAGCATGTACATAGTTTTAAAATATGATAATTTAAATATTAGTTTAAAATAACTTCATTAATATCTTTCTATGCTTAATCCCCTTCACTGTTTTATTGTTATTAAAAAATGCAGAAACAACTTACTCACAACTGTATATGTATGTATGTAGTTGAATGCGTAAATGCATTTTTATAAATTTCAATAAATAAACTCACACAGTTTCTCATACATATGCATACGTATTATATATTATGTATGCATATATTTGTATGGATATTTTTTAGTTTATATACATAAGAACAAATTCTCAAATGTCAATAGGCTCTAGCTAGGGTATTTGTGTTAAGGCTTTAAAATTTTTACAATTAAGTAACATGCGATTTTTGCCTTAAAAAAATATCCATTATAGCGAATAGGAAATTTTAATACATAACAAAAATCGTTTTCGTGTACTTGCATGCATTCTTAGATAATGCATAGGTATAATGTAGTATAATGTGAAATATATGTACATATATGCACCTGAGTATAAAAAGGAATAAAGAATCGAAAAATCAAAAGAATAATAAAATTTTAAAAATAAACTTTTTTATTTTAAGATAAGATCACTAATATTTCCATGTGTTGAATCATAGTTTTAATGTAATAAATTGTTAATTAGTGTTAAGACATAAAAAAAAAATAAGTGAAAAAAAAAACTTTTACCAAAACAAAGTAACACATTGGTGCTACTGCATATACATACATGTATGTGATGTATGAATATATTTCTTGCGTTTTCTATACATTAGAAAAACTTCGTAAAAGAGAATCACCAATAATAATGCGTGCGTAATTTAGAGCACAAGATAATGGTAGGCACTAGCAAAGTATCGGATTAAAGATTCCAAAAAAACTGAACATTTGACAAATTGTTAAATAATTTGTCGAATCTTTAATAATATGTAATAAATAAATATGTAATACTTTATTTATAATCAGTCATGTTAATGCTTTTATACACTCCATACAATTTAATGCTCATTTTGAGAGTATTTTTGAATAAATAAAAAATAAAATAAATATTTTTGAACTATATATTTCAATTTTAAAATTTTAGTAATTCAATTTAAATATTTTGAAATAGGTTTGAAATAACCAGCCCTATCATGAATTTCGTTCGTAACTCTTAAATTCAGAAAATTACGAATATCATATTGTCAATTACGAATTACTAAAATTCTGCTTCGAATATTCGTAATGGAGCAATAATAAATTACGCTCGTAGTAAAAATAACCCTCAAAAGTTTTAGAAAGCAATAATCACTGAAAAGAATGGTAACTTTAAAAAGAATGGTGATTTTGAAGTTTTGCATTTTTTGTTTGAGATTGACTTACTCTAACACAGCTACCATGAAGGGAAATAAATTCATATTTGCTTAGAGTTTTTTAAATCAAAAATATTAAAAAACGCAAAAAACTGCAAAACTTTCATACTTAGGATATTTTTAAAATATCGTTTTGTATAAATAAACATTTGACATTTGAAAAAGTCTACATCGTAATTCTAAGTTTTCACGTAATTCGTAGAATTCTACGAGTAGAATTCATGATAGGACTGAATAATTAAATAAACTTACCTTAATTTAGTTTCAGTTAATTGTTTCAATAAAAGAATGAACTTTCATTAAGCAGATAAGCCTATGCCATCTTTGCTCAAATCAGATTATTGTAGAGCCTTATGAAAACATAAAGAGAAAAAAAATAAAATAAAATATCAGTTATCGTGTTCAAAAATTACAAAAGTTAGTACTCACCTGTTTAAATGGGATTCATAGTTCCAAAAATTATACAAAAATCTTTTTCTAAAATAATCTAAAAATTTCAATAAGAATGGAAAAAATTGAAAAGTTAAAGTAAAAATAATTGGCTTTTATATAATTATTTTTTTTTATTGCAATAATATAAATAACGATATCATAATAAAAAAGTCGTCATTTAAATCTATTTAAACTAAGACTTACGCAAATAATAAAATTAATACTACGAAATTTAATTTTAATACAACAGTTTATTTAAATATAATAGTTGATTTAAAATATTTTTTTGCTTTAAATAAATTGAAACCTCAATGAAATATTATTGCATCTTTTTGAAAGCTTCAAATAAAAAAAATGGAATGTGAAATCCAATTCACAAAGTAAATCATTATTTTTTTTTCATAAAATAATTCATAAATTAATTTTTATTTTTTAACGAAGTACAAGTAAAATGATATTTCTTTTTTATGAAATATGTATATTCAAAAATTGTAACTCATCACCAAATATTTTATAAATTTTCATCAAATTTTTCAATTATTTTACTAATTAATAAAATTTTAAACATCATTATTTAATATGATGTTAAACATTTTTACTGGTTTCACTTCAATTAATAAAACTTTTAGTTTACTAAAAAAGCAACAAACAAAATGAATAAATTATTTCATTTTCATAAATATTTCATAAAGCGTGCAACATTGCTTCTTATATATAAAAACTATCTTAACAAAATTACTTCTTACGTGTAAAAAAAATTTAGTATATTTTAAAATATTATTTTAAAATTTATTACTGCTATTTAAACACAATTTCTGCACATGTTTATTCATTATTAACAAATTATTATAAATTTTGAAAATTATCCCTTATATAGTACGCATATAGTACGCCAAAAATTAAATACTTGAAAGTGCAATGAAAAAGTTTTTAGTAATAATAAAAATTTATATACATATTTTCAACTAGTTAATATTATAAGTGTTTTACTTTTCTTTATTTCTCTTTTGTTACGTATAAGGAAGATAAAATAATGATGGCATTATTGTTTTATCAAAATATGTTGAGCGCTTAACAGAATTAATATTATGAACTTTAGCTAAATGTCGTTTTAGATCTTCATTACGGCGGTATCTTGAGGGGCATATATCGCAACAAAACTTCGGAGGAACACCGATACACTCATTGCGCATATGCCTTTTAAGATGGGCTTTTCTCAAATAACTTTTGCCACAAATACCACATGGATAACGCAATTGCATGCTTTTTAATAAATCTGAAAAAAGATTACAAAAAAATTATATTGACTTAAAAATTTAGTAATAATATTTTTAAAATCAATTTGTAATACAAATCTTATTTTTATATACATATATTTAGATATATAAAAATTGTAAGTCATTATAAATATATATATATATATATATATATATATGTATGAATATGTTATATAAATATATAACATATTTATTAAAAGAAAAAATATATATAAATACATATAACATATTCAATATTCTTAAAATAAAATAACTTGAACTTAAAAAAAAAACATTAATGCTTATGACATCATACTGGGATTATTATAGCGAAAGTGTGAATAAATTGCAACCATTAAAAAGAAGAAAACTAAATTTTAATAAAAAAATATGTTAGAAATGAAAAATTATTTATAAAAATATTTACAACAAAAAAATAGTATAAATAATCAACTGCTAATAAAGAAAAAAACCATTTTATATATTTATAATATCCTTTTATATTTTTGAAATCCAGATTTATTTATTTTATTTTTTTTCAGAATTTTAATGATTGAAAGTTTTAATAATGTCTCCTAAATACAATACAACTAACTATAATTTAAAAATATTAATTAACTAAAATTTTATTACAAATTTTATAATTGAAAATTTTGAAAATTTTATTTCTATTGAACTATTATATTATAATATAGTATTTTCTATTGAATATATAGTATTTTTTATTATATTATATATATAATATTTTCTATTGAACTATTATATTAATTCAATTTCATTTTTAATTCATTTTGATATTCGCGGCAAAAATATTATCTATCTTAACTTAAAATGATAGCCAAGTATTACAAAAATTTTGAAATGATATTTTGATTTGAAATTATTTTATTGATAATTTTACATTATCAGAGTAGGATTTATGAAGAAATTTTTCTATTTATTCAAGTAACGGAACCGTTAATCTTATAAATGATGTGGTGTGATTTTTTATGTAATTTTGTTAATTTAATATAATTACCTTATTTTTATTATGTCTTTAAAAAATTATAAGGTAACTATAATTCACTTAATATATAATATATTTTTCGCTATTTTTATTTATGGAAAAGCTTTTTTTTTGTAAATTGAATTTTATAATTCAGCATTTACTTTTTATATAAAACAAATATTACGTTAAAAACAACATTAAGTTACAAAAAAAAAATTCAGAAAAAAATTTTTTTTTAAATAAAAAAAAAACAGAAAAGTGAAAGGAAATCGTGGAGTTCACTATTATATACGTTGTATTTTATTATATTGATAATTTTCTAACTAGAGTGATTTTATCTGATTCGATAATTATTTGATAAATTTTGATGATACTTTTTTTCTATTAATATGAATATTTTACAGTATTTCTATTAAAAATTCAAATTTTATATTTTTATAAAGCTTTTCAAATTTTTTGAATTGTTTCTCTTCTTTTTTTTAAAATAAATGATTTTATATTAAAATGACTTATACATGAATTTAAATGGCTATGGAAAATACATTCAAAATACATTAAATTACAAACAACCCAAATAAAAGGTATTGTATATTATATTTTCTAAAAAAATTAAGTATTTTCAGTAGATAAATAATGTTTCATGTAATTTTGAAAATAAATATCTTTAATTCAATATTTAGAAATAATTTTATATTATATTAAAAAATGGTAAACTGTAATCATATAGTAATAAGTTTTTAATTTCTCAAATTTAAAATTGTAAAATTGTCACTTATTTTTTTAACACCCTTTAATATACGAGTACGTTAATTGTATTAGTTTTTTATAATATTTAATATTTTTTTAATTGAATTTAATTCCAAAACTTTTGAAAATGGCCTATTAATTTTTTTTCTAGTAAGTTTAACTTATAAGGCAAAAAGTGGAATTTTATATACATATATGTAATTTATGTAAATTTTCGAAGCTTATGAAATTGCAATATAATTTTATAAATTAAGATTTAAGAGCTATGAAAAATTCTTATTTTTCTTATACTAAACTATAAACGTAATTAAACGTACTTTCACATGTTTTGATATTTTTAACACATTATATACGTACATTATGTAATATAATATTTTAGGAAACATATATGTACGAAAAACATATTGAAAAGTTTTTAATTTCTTTTAATTCTATAATAATTTTCATGTCTAACTATGGTGTGGGTTTTTTTTTAAATAGAAAATATTTTTTATTTTAAAATTTTAAGAAATTATTGTTAAAAAAATTTATTTGTTTATAAAACTAATCACATAAATTTTTTTAGTAATATTTTCTATATATGTTTGTAAGATGTGTATATTTTATTAATCTAAATGTACTTTATTTAGTGAAAAATTCAAATAGCGTTTTAATTTCTTCGAAATTGACTACATTATAATTTTTTTTCCACAAAACAAATTTCTGTTTTAATAATTTTTCAATAAAATTTATTTTTTTCGTAATTAATATTTTTATAAAAAAAATGTTAGTTATTAAAAATATTCATTTTAAAACCTTAAATTTCAATTACACCAAAAGAAATATCAATAGACATATTATGTAATTTCTTTACTTTCATGTATTTGAAAATTGATAACCGCTGTAATGAATTTAGTTGGAAAGTTTGTAAATTAAAAATAATATTTGAATACCAAAATAGTGAAAATCAAGTTATACATTTTTTTCACTTAAAAAAAGATTTGTGAAAATATTGTCGTCAGTACGAAATAATCAAAAATTTACTAATACAAATTTTGTTTTTGATTATCTTGAAACAATATATACGTAAATCAAAAAAACATTAAAATCTTATATCAATATTGAATGTTCTTTACGCATGTGTTCATTTAAAAATGCCTGTGAACGATAATTTCTTGAACATAAAGGGCATCGATTAACTTCATATAATCGCGTTCCACCTGGTTTTGAAGCATTTCCCGCGCCAATTCCACACAAAACACTACCACTCCCATCGTATGTTCTTGTACCCGGTTTTTTCGGAGCTATGTTGCCACTAACAGAACCAACACAACCCGCAACATGTACAGCATTACTCCCGCAGCAGCTTGATGTAGATGGTGGCGGTGTAGTAGCAGGAACATTTCCAGTAATAGCAGTTGTTAAGTTACTTAAATTTGGATTTCTACATTTTAATAAAATTCCTTCTAAAGTTTTAGGTGAAGATATTGAAGCTAATTGTCTTAAGGCAACTTTTATGGCTGCTTTATCTTTTATTACTGCGGTATCATCATTCAGCAATTGTTTTTGATTAGTATTTTTAGATGTTGTTGTTGATCCTGTTCCAGATAATGGTGATCCGATTGAGGAAGAATTTGTAGGTATATTTTGACTTTGTTTAAAATTTCCCGAAGTTAAGCTTGCAGAAATCAATGGCGGGGATGGACTTGTTGATGGGGACCCAGAATCTGAATCAGAACTTTCTCGTTTGATAACGTGATCAGGTCTCAAGAGATTCTCCTCAGGAACTAAGCGAATTACAGGTTTACTGGAAGAGTTACTGTCTTCAGTTGAAAAATTTGTTGAGGAACGTGTACATATACCACTTCTCATAGAAGGTTTAGGCCCAGATTTAGGTGAATATGATGATAAATCTAAAATAGAAAATAAATAATTTATTAATCAAAAAGACATTGAAAATAAGAACATTATTTTGGCTTCTTTATAGAAGTTTAAAATTAGGATATTGTTATTCTGAAAATATTAAATTTTCTTAAAAAACAATCTATCAAAAAGCTGAGCAAATTATATATTAGCGCTAAAATAATTCTTTCATGTTTTTAAAAATACGATTATATTTTTCAAAGTACATACGCTATTTTAATGTTTTAATATTTACAATAAATTTTTTTGTTTAGGATTATTTACTAATGTTCATACATTAGCAATATCACACAAAGATCTATATACATAAAATATAAAAACCGTTTATATAATAAAGGAGTGTAATATAATAAAAAAGAAACACAGGTTTAATATTTATCAAAAACTGTTTGTAATATTAATATTTTTATACATATATCTACTTTTTATTGTTTTTCATATCATATACCTTGAATTATGCAATATTTTCGTACTTGCTATACTTATTTTTTAATTGAAAAATTACAATGAAATGCAAAAATGCTCTTTAAATCGTATTTTGAAAAAAATTCTAGAATGAAATATTTTGTATTGTGTAAAATCCCATGAATTCTAATCAAAAAGATGAAACGTTTATAAATAATTAAAAGCGAAAAATTTTTAACGAACTTACGTAAAATAAGTTAAATGGCTATTGAAAACGACCCTTGATTTGATTTTTAATTTTAATTCAAAAATCCTAGATATCAATTGGAGCTGATTTTTAAAACTAATACTATCTCTAACCATTTTAAAATCATATTTTCAGGATATTATTTAACAAAGTAAAAAAAATATGTCTCTAATTTAATCAAATAATTTTAAATAAAAGAAAAAACATTTATATACAAAAAATTAAATAAGTTATAAGTTTTATAATTTGTACTTATAAATTACTTAAGTTTCAAAATAAATCTGGCAAATTTCGTAAAAATGTGGTTTCCAATTCAAAAAGAATCATCCAAGTTTTTTATTTAACATTATAAATCTTACTTCATACGATTGAAGTTCATTAAGCTTCAAATTTCTCTTTGCTTTTTCTTTTGAAACATTTTAACATTAATATTACTATAATAAAACTAAAAGACAAAAATATGTTTTTAAATTTTATCAAAAGGTCTTCAAAAATTATTAATATAGTATAGTTTACTTATTACAATTAACATTTACAATATTCAATGCAAAATTTTCAACAGTAAAACTTTTTTTCCTGCACAAAGAAGGCAAACACTGAGATATTAAGTACAGAAAAACTTAAATATGATATAAAATCTATTGAAAAAATAACAATCTTATTTTTTATAACTTTATTTAACTAAAATATTTTTAAATTTATAACGTTACAAACAGACTTTTCTTCAAAACCTTTAAACAATCATAATTAAAAATATTTAATCATATCTTGTAATAATTGCCCAAAATTAAAGTATCTTCAAATTTTTATATTAAACTTCCATTTTGAAATATTTTTTTCTTATTAGAAAAATTCTTGGTATGGAAACCTAAAAAGAGAATAGATTAATAAATAATTTAATTAATTTTTATTTAAACTCCTTTAATAACGTACCACGTTTAAGTTTGAAATAAATTTTAAATTTTCCATTATTATTAACATTTTTTAAGAATTACAATTTAAAACATACACGTTTCTTGAAATTTCTAGAAATATGAAACAAAAAAATAAAAAAAACTTTACAAATTTTGATTTCAAGCAGCTTAATTTCAATGAAGCATTTCTATCGATATTATTTTTTCTTGATCAATTTTCTGAATTCGGGGGGAAATTGAAAATTGAAAGTGCTTAAATAAAACAAATTTTTTAATTTTTACATCAAGTTTTATGAAAACGATAAATTTCAAATATTACATTTATATCAATTTTAACTTTTCCGAAATCTAAGTTTTCTTACTTTATTTCAGTATTTTTTTAATTAAAACCTTTTACATTTCGAGCATAATTTAGTGTGAATTCATATTACGTTTTTATAAATTTGCTTTACAAAATTTGACCAATTTTTCATTAAATTTCATTCAGTAATAAATTTTAATGAATCAACATTTTTAAAACAAAGGATTGATCCTTGAAGATAAAAAAAGAATCAAAAAATAAGAAATTTCAGATGAATGATTTTTATTTAAAGACGTGAGAGATTTTCAATTAATTAACCAAAGATATGCAATAAAAAAATTGATTTTGAGATACAATAAACAATATTGTTAATTAATAACTTTTAGTCATCGGGCATACAAGCGAATATATAATGTTTTCTTAAGTTAGTTTAATTTAAGCATACTTAAACCCTAAAAAAAATTACATGCATATTGGTATATGTTTCGGTATTAGAATGATTAAAAATTCATATATAAAAAGAATATTATAAATTATTTTTCATTCCAATTTTCTAACTTTAGATCTCTTAAATTGTACTTAATTTGAAATAGGGTCTTCTTTAGCAAAATCAGGAAACTTAACTTTGTTTTTGTGAACTTTTTCGAAATGTTCTTTTAAATCCTAGTTTCAGAAGAATTTCTTATTAGATAGGTTCACAATAATTGTTTTGTTAACGTCACAAAGGAGTTTATGTGACGAAACATTATATTTCTTGCCGAGTAATATCTACGATATTTCTGGGTTTCGTCTGCGATAATAAATTTAATAAAGATGTTGTCCTTAATGAGAGAACTTATTTGGAGGTACACAAACTTTTCCAAAAATCTGAAAATTTTTATCCGAATCAAAGTAGAACTAAATAAAAATATATGATAAAAAAAATTGAAATATTAAATTTGATTTTTAAAAAATTTGCAATACGAATCTAAAATTCTAACATTCATAATCTTATTGTTTTGATACAGACATCACATAATATATATAAATTACTCCTGCAGTTTGAAAGCAAAAGTAAAAAAAAGCTTAGTCATTAGCAATAAATAATCATTTCTAACAATAGAATAAAAAATTTTATTCGATTTTACTTAATTTTTTTCCAAAATTGGTTCTAGAAATATTTAAAGGTATTACTTAAATTAAAATACCTTTATTTTGTTTTACATAAAATTATTGGAAATGTAACAAAACATCTGTTTTATATATTCTCCTAAATAACAAAACTTAACACCATAAATCCATAACATTTTCATTAACATTTCCATTTTGAACATATGTCTGATTTCAAGTATTGAAATTTAGTATGGTTAAATTAAAAATTTATATATTCAAGTAAAAAATCAAAGTAAAAATATTAAGAAATAAACATAATATTAGAATAAATAAAAGTACATGAGACAATCCTTTGTTTATAAAAATTTTCAAGCAAAAGTTAAATTAGACAATAAAATTCGAAGATTCATACTATTGCAATATTCATACTATTTGATATAGAAAGCCATAAGACTTATATTAAATTAAATTATTGGCGGGTAGTTGCATTTCTTTTCTATTCTAAATATATGATAAATTTAAACATTTTTGCAATTTAACATTTTTTACATTTAAAAGCAAAAAACAAAAAAACTGAACATTTATAATAAAAAATTTTTTATGATTCCAAAAAAAAAACTTAACTATACAAATTTCTTACTTTACTAATTGCATTTACTAAAACTTTATTTTTTGATATTTTAAACCCTTGCTGATTGAACAACTAAGAATCTTAAATTCTTAAAAAACTTTACTAAAAAAAGATTATTTTAGTCGATTCCTTCATACACATCAGGATGCTTTTGTAAAACATGTTTTTTCAAATCAGATTTGTATTTACTTCTATGTGTGCAATAATTGCATTGAAGGGATGGTACCACACCGCATTCATAAATTTTATGTCGCTTTAAAGATCCTTTTATTTTATATGGTTTACCACACTGATCACAAACAAATGGTAACTCCGATTTCATTTTCACACCACCCGATATTGATGTTATTGTTATTTCCTTAGTATTAGGTTTTATATCAGATTTCTCATATTTTAGTTTTTGATTTGTCGAAAATTGTTGTGATTGCGGTTGATGTTGCTGTTGTTGGGTTTGGGGTGATTGTTGAAGTGAGTGCTTTTGATGTTGTATTTGAAGTGGCGTTGTTGGTATTTTAAATTGTTTAACAGTTGATGCCTTTGGATTTGTAATCACAATTTTCCCTTTTGTTGTTATCGATTTATGTGGCTGATGCTGCTGCTTTTGGTGTTGATGCGAAGATATTTGTACGGTTTTTATAGTTTCTTTGTTATATTCATCAGACATAATAGATTCTTGCTCCAAATGAGGAATATCTTCATAAAGTCCATCATCATCAGCTAATTGTGTAGTTGTAGAAGCTGTTGCAGTATGTGATTTGATGTGTTGTTGTGGTAGTTGTAAATGATCATTTTGAGGTTGCTGCGATTGACGATGCTGTTGCTGTAAATGCTGCTGTTCATGAGTCTGTAACTCGTGTAATTGATGGGATGAAATTTCCTCAATTGCTTCAATTGTATGAATTTCTTGTACTGTATAATTTGTTTTTATATCTTTATCATGCTTAATTGATTGAGTTGTTAAAGTTGTTCCTGTTGTTGCAGCTGTCACTGCGGGTATTAACGTCTGTAATTGAATATTGTTTTGCAGGCCAGCACTAGCAGCCACTGACGCTGGAATTTGTAACAAAACCGTATGCGTAGCTTGCGGCGTTACGATTGCTGTTGAGGTTGGTAAAGCTTCAACTAAAGTCCATATACTATTGCCTAAAACAAGTTAACAAATTAGTAAAAAGCAATCTTGCAAAAAATCTAAAATTTTAAACGATTTTAAATTTAGTGTTAAGTGTCTTATAATTATAATATCTAATTAGTTTTTTTTGTTTAATGATACAAACATAAACTTTTCTTACAAGTTTATAAATAAATAATATTGTAGAAATTCAATTATTAAAGTTTGATTTCTCATTTCTTGTAGCTTACAAAATTTGAAAATAACAAAAATAAATAAAATTAAACTCATTTTATTAAATTACTTATTTACATTTATTTTAACTTTTTTACACCATTACAAATCATACTATATAATTGCAAATATTAATCAGTATATTTACTATAATTAGTTCTTTTTAGTTTAATTTTTTTTACAAGATTTCATAAGATTTTTGTAAACCAAATCATAGCTATAATTTTGTCTTAGAAAAATGTGAATTTTGTTCCAAACTTTGTGTCTATTATTGCGACTGAATATACATATATTTAAATTTTTTTACTTATATTTTTTTCTATTGAATTTGGAATTTATTATTAGTTACATTACAGTTTTTACTATAAAATTATTTTTAAGGTAAATTACATTTTGTACATAGTACTTTATTAGAAATTAATGAAAATCTAAAATAAAATTATTTCTTAAAATTTTTTATAAATTAAAAAAGTTTTATTAAATTTCGAAAAGGGAGTTATCAAGTAAATATTATAAAAATATTTCTTAATAACAAAAGAAGTTGAAATAACCTTCATAAAAAGCTACATTCCATTCAAAAAGCTTAATTTTTTAATTAAAAATATTTCCTAAGGACGTACAAAAATAATTGAAAGTAGTTATATGTATGAGCACAAAATCCTTAATTTGTAGACATTGTTATATTTATATTTAAACTTTTACTATGTATTTTATTATTTAAAAAATTTTATAAATACAAAATTTCTATGAATAAAAAATATTAGAAAATTGAAAATTAAAACAGCAAACATAAAATATTTAATATTAACACTTATTAATATTTAATATATCATATAAAACCTATATAATACAATTCTAAAATTTAAAATATCTATTAGAAAATTAACGGAAACTAGTATATAACATAGTGTATATTAAATTCACTAGACGTTATTTATGTATTGTTTCATGTAATGTACTTGTTTTTTATATATAAATTAACAAAAGCCGAAAATTAAGAAAAAACTAATCTAACCGTCCTAAATCCGAAAATATTTTAAGATCGGTATTAAAAATTGGGAAACTCGTTTACGATTATAAAAACTGCCTTCACCAGTTTAAGTTTGTATTTATGCTTTAATTGGAAATTTCTTCTTTAAAGAATCTTAAAGCACTTAATTTTTTATGCTACAATTTATATTGAAATTTTGCTTTTCCAATTCTAAAATATTTTTTTCAAGTACTGTTTTTATCTTCAAAATTTGATATCAATCAAATCAACTTTGGAACACAATCAAATCACCTTTGGAACACAATCGATGTTGCAAATTAATGCGAACAAATCAATTTTGCAAATAAATGTGTTTGTACAACTTTACGGAATGTCTTTGTTAACATTTAATTGCAAGAAAACTTTATGGAAACATAATATTTTTGGCAAGACAAAATCCTCAGACAAACCCCTTGCTCAAAACCAAATTGCTTCATATTCCAGCTGAAAACAATACTCAGAGGCCAACTAAGAAATAATTTATAAATTCTTAAATTACTTGAATAAGTTGAATATTTTTGACTAATCTGATTTGAAATATATATATATGTTTAAATTGATGCTTAAATTCTACATTTTCCCAAAAAATGTTTGCGGAGTCACTAAAATAGAATAAAAAGAATTTTACAAAATGAATTGATAACTCTCTAAATCTTCAATTCTTCAAAAAAAAAAAATTAAAATGAAATAGAAATTCTCTTTCATTCGAAAAAGGTACTTTGTTTATGCTGATTATGCTTATGTTTATTTTGAAAGTGAATTAAGTCCATTTGCAATTTCGAAACTCTTTTATTTGCAAATCAATGAAAATATCGATAGTTGGAATGAATTTTTGATTACTTTAAACTTAAACGCTGCAATATTTAATTTTTATTTGAAATGAGCTTAGATCACTTTCAAAATAAACAATTCACGGATTTTAATATACGCACTTTTTCAAAGCTAATTTTCTATTATTCAAATTTGTTTTCTTCTTTTTTGAAATAAAAAATTCTTTTCTTAGTGGTGTCATAGAATAAATTAGAGAATATAAACTAAAATAGATAAAAATTAAAATGGTACTGATAATTAACGCACATTTCAGGTTAAAAAATTTAAAAATAAAAATCAAAAACTTAAAAATACTTTTGGAATAAACAACCGTTCCTTTTTATAGTCAGCAAGAAAATCACATGAAAATTATTCTTAAATTTATATATTTTTATATGTACATATATGAATATATTTCATATATTTATGCTTATATGCATAATGTATGTGCATATATATTTTATTTGAAGATTTTAAGTAAATGTTTCACAATTTATCAATTCAAATACAAATAAACTTTTAACTTTTAAATGTTAACAAAAAATTTTATCTAATTATTTATACAGGATCTTCAATTCTAAAATACAAATTATATTTACAAAATTTAATTGAATGTGAAAAATAAATTACAGGTATTTTTAGCTTTTTCAATATTAGAATAAATCAAATGACAAATCGCAATCGTCTGTGTTTCGAGATTGAATATTTATCGTAAATAAATAAAAAACTAAGAATAATTATTGAATTAATAGCAAAAATCATAGAAAGTAAATTTACATTTAACTACTTTCATCATTATCGAAATTGTTATATTTGCTACTGTCGATTTTATTGTAACTGTAGTTTTCATTATAATTTTCGTTTAGTAAATTCCTCGTATTTAATAATAACTGATTTTGCATCAAATTGTTATAGTCGTCCGGATGTAGTCTAGACATATGGCGATATATATGATCTTTTCGTTTTGTACGATAAACACAACAAGGGCATCCAAATTTCTTTTCTTTTGAACAATAAATTACATGTTTTTTGAACTTATCCTTCGAATCGTATAGTCCCTTACAACGTGGACATTCAAATTCATCCTGACTGGCAAAATTATGCGATTGGTTACTAAAAACTTTTAAATTAGCTCTTCCAGAGAATATAGAATGATCATAATTTGTGGCTAAAAGATTTTCTAAAATTGGAAACATTTCTAAAATAAAATTAAATAAAAAAAAGAAAAAAGAAGAAACAAAAAAAAATTAAATTTTTTCACAAAAAAATTGTAAAATATTTCTTAAAAAGTATGAAAAACATTTCTCCCATTTTCTATAAAAATATAAAATAAAAATAAATTAGAGGACAACATGATATCCGCCCAAAACTAACCATTGCTTCTTACTGTACAAGTATTAATAAAAGTATATGTATGTATAATCGACAGCTGTCTTAAAAGTTTAATTTGTATTATTGTATGAAAGCTGTTATAACGTGTTAAATTCAGTGAATTTATAATGATAATATAATATTAACCATAACCTTATTCCTTTTATGCACAACAATTTATTTTTGATATCAACTGAATTAAAATATTATAACTATCTATTTATAATACAAAAGAGAAATGTTGATTATGTTAAATATAACAAACATTTTTACATTAATTTTTTTTAAAAGTTATTCAAGTTAATATTTTAAGGGTAATAAAAAAAACCGTTTTTATATCAAAAAATTTTAACTTCAATCATTCACCCATATTCTGCTGCCAAGCAAACATCGCATGAAGTGATACTAGAATAGCACTTAGACGTAATAACGAAATTTCGATTGATGGCAATTGTCAAAATCATTGGGTGTCATTTTTTATTGCTTCATTATTTACATTCGATAGACTGTCAAGGTTTAGATTAGTTAAATTTTCACCAGTAGTGTAAATACATAAATTTAACTTATAGTTTAATTATATAAATTAATTTTAAAAATTACCAAATTTAGTAGTTATAAAAATTATTAAATTAATTTTATGGTAAAAATTTTTCATTATTTTTTATATTGCTGATTGAGGTTTTTCTACTTTACAGAACAAAAACAGTAACAAATACAAAACAATTTGAGCGTTTAATTGAATTATTGCAGGATAATCCAGAGATTGCCAAAGGTTTTTCTGATTGTCAAATATTTAAACGGGTACTGCAATTCAAATTACTCAGTAAACCTTTTCGAAATTCTGAAATTTTAAATATGTACAAAATTTATGTTTTATAATTATATTAAATACACTTAATTTTTTTTGCAATTCTGTAGGAAATTTAAAGGTATTTGAACTGTTTCTGATTTTTCAGGAACAGTGTTGACACTTATCAAAAATTGGCGCGATTGGCAGAATATGGGTGTTTATTTTAAAGAAAAAAAATTTTCACTTTTAATTAAATTAAAAAAAAATTAAGTTCACAAAATAAATAAGTTTTACACATAAATAACTGTTTTTTTAGACACATATCTTGCAATCCTTATCAAAAAAATATCGTAATAAATTGAATAATATCAATACATCCTCAAATATACTAATTTCGTGTTTATATTCTTTTATAAAAAACAAGTAAAAAAAATACGCAACTTAAACATAAAGAAAAAATATATATTAAACATAAGGAACTATCACAACAGAAACAGACTTGCCATTTTACAACTGTTTTTTTTTTTCATTTTGTAACTTATAAATCAAATTTTTTTGTATTGAATAAATCACAAAAATTGTAAGAAGTAATTAAACAGAAACAAAGATGTTTATTTCATTTCATTACTTAATGTTTCTACACTTAATATTTTCAATGATGGAAAGTTTGATACATTTTTTTGGTGCCTTTCAATATGTTTGGGCAAATTTCTTCTCTGTGTTACAATTTTCGGGCAAAAAGGACATTGAGCTCCCAAACCACATTCTCGCATATGACCCCGAACTGCTGTGATTTTTTTATACTTAACACCGCATCTTGGGCATATATATCTAAGTGTACCGTCTTTCATGTACATTGTTTTTGGTTCATCACATTCAGAATCTGAAAATAACACATATATTAACCAAAATTAATTTTTAAAAGAATGTATTCTTTTCACACAAACTTCATTTTGTACATATGTATTTATATTTAATTAAAAAAAATTGAAATTATTATAAAAATAAACAAAATTAAAGAAAATCAAATAAAACTAATAGAAAAAAAATAAATTAAAGAATGTACAATTCAATTTGAAATTTTTATTCAAATTTATTTTCTTAATAGCGTTAGATTTTACATTTTCGTATTTTCACTTTTTTTTTAAATTAATTTTTTCAATATAAATATAAGAAAAAAATTACACTATTAAATGAAATACCTTTAAAATATTAGATTTTAGTCATTGTTCTATGTACAAATTTTTGATTTAAATAAATCTGAAATTCTAACCACAAAATTGCTTCAAAAAATATGAAATATGCTATATAATTCTAAATAATATTCTAATCTGAAATTTACTGCTTAAAAACAAAACAGAGATTCTTTAATAATTATGACAATAAGAATATTACTGCCATATTAAGATTTAAAATATTCCGGAATAAAGATATTGCCAAAACTTGAAAAAATATATTTCTAGATAGTCTAGATAGTTTCTAGATAGTTCTAGATAAATCCATTTATAAAATCCTTCTAAATTCTAAAATACAATAACAATAATTTGAGTTGTTCCAGACATTTTAAAATATTAGCAAAAAAACAGTTTTTATTTGCATTATAATTTACATTTATATTTCAGAATAAAATTTTATTTGCATAGTTCAATAAAAAAACTTTTTACTTTTAATCTATTTAATATTGTACTTCATTTATTTCAAATTTTGGACTAACTCTAAATAAAGTGTATATATTGATGAAAGTATGAACGAATTTCAAAAGAATTTTCATAAACTTGCAACTGATTCTTCATTTAATTGAAATAAATGTTTTTAGAATGCTAACCCTTTTTTACAAAGAACAAAATATTATCAACAAGACAAAATAATTTCCTTTTTATAATTTTTAAATTCCATGATCCGAATACTATTTACAAATTAAAATTAATTTATCAATTTAATATGAGTTGCTTAAGCTTCAAAGTGAAGGAACGCGCTGAAATTAGGGAAAAGAATATAGTAAATTTATTTCCAACATAAATACGAACCTAAATCCATCAAGTTTTGAACTTTATTCTTGAACAATCCGAGTGTTATCACATTGAAAAAGACCTAAAATAAAATTAAAAATAAAATATTAGTATAAAAGTCGAAAGTTGCATTATTTGAAACCAATTGTTAAACAATTACATAAACAAAAAATCAAAAGAAAATTTTTTCAAAATTAAATGGATTACCAGAAAAATTGCATTGAAAAGGAAATAGTTAGATAGGGATATAAAGATGTTCGCAAAAAATTTTAAACTAGTTTGTTTTATTTACATTATATACTTTTATTTTTCTTGTTTTTATATATTTTCAAATTATAATATTAGTGAATTGATTTATTTTATTTTATGATTAAATTATTCAAAATTCACTTGATATATTGAATAAACTTTTAAAATAATTAATTAAATCTATATTAATTTTAAAAAATTTACCACAATAATGAAACTTTAGCATAATATGCACTTTTTAATCAATATCGAAAATATTATTGGATTAAATAATAAAAATGTTTCATAAAAATAAAAATACAAATTTAACAAAAAAAATTTAATAACATTTAAATATTTTTACAGATAAAATATTATTTTTTAATATAAATAATTAAATATATTTAAATATTAAAATTTCAAGCTATAAATATAAGTTATAATGATAGCATCAACTTTCAGTATAGTCTCAGTCCGATAATAGCAAATAAATTCGTACAAATTAAAAATCTTTGAATAATTTTTATATTTACTAACATAGAGTTTGATTCACGATTAAAAAACTACACTCTGAGCTCTGGAAGTTAATGCAATCATTTTACATTACATGTTGCACAAATATCATTTCAATTACTCATAAATTTTACTTGGTAATAGGGTTTGAGTTTAGAAAAAAATTAATTAGTAAAAGTGCATAGTTAAGATTGAAGTACATATTTGCATATTATATTTTGAAATAATAATCTAATAATTATTTCATAGCGAATATGTTTCTCCGATTCAATCGAAACCGCTCTCTATAAAAATTAAATTTTTGTCTATACTTTTTAAATATGTTTATGAAATTAAAATATATATATTTTAGAATTAGTATAATAATAATAATAATAATAATTATTTACCAAAAATTTAAAATAAGTTTAAAGACAAAAAAAAATTTGAGAAATTTAAAATAACAAAAATTTAATATAAAATTATAACATAATAAAATAACAGCCCTTTTACCTTTAACTATTTTATATCATAAATATTTGAATTAAAATGTTAATTTATTAAAGTAAAATTATTCTTATTGAAACACTGAAATAAAATCAAATGAAATCCAAATCAATATGACTACTTCGAATTTAATTCCTGAGATATTTTTAAATTTATAGCTTAATGCTTTTTTGTTTTATTATAAAATGATTTTTTTTTATTTTTTGTGTAAGAACTTTAAAAGAGTTTTAAAAAAATTATTTTTAACTTTAATATCGAAATTTACACAAATTTAAGAGATCAAACGTTTTTTTTTAATACACATACTTAAATATATTTACATAAATGTATATTTATGTAAATAAATTAATTTAAAAATAATGTGCAAATCAAAAATTTCAATATAATTTACGATATGGTAACATTTTAATACAAATATATTACATCATTTACAAATGTTATAACATTAATCAGCGAAATGAAACATAAAACTTAATATAAATAAATTGCTTAGCTTTAAGAAATAATATTTTAATTCACATTATTTTAAACGATAGTGCGTTTTTATTTCTTTTTTAAATATTTATGTATATACAAAAATAACATTTAAATATTTTATAATTTATATCAAACTCTATACTGAATGTCATAATCTGTTCCATCTTCTATATATATTTTTTAATAAGTATAGAAAGTTAAATGAATGATATATCGTTATATTTAAAAAAATAAATAACTTATTCTAAATTTTTCAAAACAAGTAGGTAATATTGTGTTATTAATTATTAAACAAATTTTAAAATATTATAGTTAAGATAGGCCAAAAAAAGTTTTGTTTCATATTTTTTGCTTTATCACATTTTCTCTAAAAAATCTGTGAACAAGACTTTTTTGGGTAAAAAAGATTTTAAATAAACCAATAATAAAATATGGTATAAAATATGTATAAACCAAAAAAATATTTAATTATATTTTATCAAATAAATACAATTATTTTTCTATTTGAAATTATGAAAATAAATGAAAAATTTGACAAAGAACAATTATAACTATTCAGCCCTGAATATGGTTCTTATAGACTTACATAACATTGATATGATATATATCTATACATCAATATATTATTATTTAAATATTATACACGTATTCTTAAAAATGCTAGTTTATTTGAAGGGATAAGCAAATTTGCTTTTATTTTTCTCTTTTATACATATATACACAATATGAACTTAGTTTTTTTATTTTATATATTTTTTTGTTTTCTTCTATATATTTTACATTGTTTGTTTTTCTAATATTATGTTTTAGATTATTAAGAACTATTATTTAATGTATGTAAAACAAATTAATTTGTTAATAATAATTATTTATAACAATCACAAATAATCACATCAAAATTTTCATTCACAGCTCCATTGTTACAAAAAATTTTATTAAAAAAAAGGAAAAAAAAACAATTGCCTTACTCATCCCATTATTTATTTTATTTTTTTAAGAAAAAACATACATTGTAGAAAAACTATTTCTCGTTTTTAAATTTTTGATATTATATCAAACTTTTTAAATATTTTTTTTCTTTGTATACGTTTTTATGGTTATTAAAATTTTATAAAATTATGTATGGAAAATTATTTTTTAAAAATATTTTGTATAATCCACTGAAAAAAGGATAAACGTTAATTTATTTTTTCTCTTTTTGAACAAAATATCTATATTGAATCTAAATTAACAATTCATTGTATAATTTAAATACATTCAAAATTATTATAATGAAATAAAATTTAAGAAAATCTCATATAAAATAAAAATTATTTTGTTTATTTTATGTTTGAAAATATTTTTTTTAATTGTTAATATTTAAATTTATGTGGTATTTACTAAATGGAATAAAGTAAAAAAGATGTAACCAACTACAAAAAATAACAAGAAATAAATAAATAATATTATCAATATTTTAATTATTATTATTGAAGTTTAATATTGTATCAATTCAAAATTTTTAATTTTTTAAGTAAATTATTTTTGTACTTACTACCAAAACCCTTATTAAATATTTATCCAAACTTGTATTTTTTTTTAAATTAATAATATTTGGCGATGAAAATACCAAAGATTTAAATTATTAATGAATATATTTTAATGGGTATATAAATGAATAAAATAAAGATACATATCCATTCTCAAACAATTCATTTTTTATAATTGCATAAAATAATAGAAAAATAAATATCAAAACAGTAATTAGTATGTTATTTTTTATAATGATTTCACAAACAACTTGGTGTTAAAACAATAAAGTTTTTACTTAAAACGAATAATATTTATTTTGATTTTGATGTGAAAAAAATATCTTTTTTTTTGTTATTAAATTTTTTGAATGATTAATGTATTTAGATATTATATTAATTTATATATTTCTATACAAATTGAAATATACATGCAATTACGAAAATTTTGTTAAAAATTACATTTTTTTTATTTTAAGTAGTACTCGTAAAGTAAGAAAAATACTTCCTAGAAAAATATTTTCTAAGAATATTTTTCTTTCCGTATGCGTCTTGCTTTTTTCTAATTTTTTTAGAAATAAAGATATATATGTATCTTATATATACATCTTTATTTATGGTATATATATTTATATATACACTTCACGCTAATTAATTTTTCAATTTAAATATATTTAATTGATATTATTTCTTACGACAATATGTTAAATTAAGTGTACTTGGGAGGCTATAAATGTATATATATCATGTACCCTTTTATATGTATATAAAACGATGTATATACATACCCTTTCATAAAGGGTATATATATAATATATGTACAAATAAATATTATATTAAATAAAAAAAGGTACTCATAAAAATTCCCTAAATACTAAATTGTTCAATGGATAAATCGGATTTAACTTTGTTTTCTTAATTTTTTGATATCTTTTTCCTATGCTTCATCCTTCATATTCTCCTTTAAATATTTAATTATTAATGACTAGTTCTAATTAAAAAATGATTATAACCTACAAAATAAATAACTATTTTTTTCCTTCAGAAAACTGTTCTAGGACATGTTTTAAATATTAGAAATAAATACTGAAATTTTTTTTGTATGTTCTTTTAATACGATTTGTAATGAAAACAAAACGTAATGCCAATTTTTTGTTTTTTATAATTTATAAAATGTTATTCTTTTTTCTTTTTGTTTTTCGATACATATAATTAATCCGATATATTTAAGGTAATAATTAAAGGTAATAATTCTTATTATTTATAAAATAATTAATCCGACATTTCCAATTGAACAACAAACAACACTTGTTTTCCATCTTTGTATTATTCAATTAAAAAAATAATATTAATTAAATCAAATAAATAATTGTTTCATAAAACAAATTTTAAGAAGATTAAATGTTTCAAAAAGAAAAGAAAGAATTTAGGATAAAATATTTTACAAAAAAAAAAAGAAAATACAACTATCCAAGAGAATAGTTCACCAAACAAACCTTTTATTTAAAAAAAATTGACGCAAATTTCATGTCATATAATATTCACGCACTTTTATACATTCTATAAACAACTTCATATAAACACTGTTTGATGGGAATAGAACAATTTGTTTTAAAGTCTAAGTTTTTGTGAAAAAAAAACTATTGATTTTTTAGGATTTTGAATTACAACATTATAAAATTTTGCAATAAATAAAATGTACACGTTTTTGAAGTGTAATTTTCTATATAGTGCTAAACAATTTTTCTTGATAAACATATATCTACATATTTATATGTTAATATATACATACATATATGTATATAAATTTTTTCTTAATTTCTTCAAATTTGTATATGTGTTATTAAGTTTTATTTATTATT